ACAATACGTAACGTACGTAAGCTTGACACATGTGTGCTATTGGCGTTTATCATTTGAATTCCAGCTAACAAATTCCCTGCAGATATCACTGAAAATAACATTTGTTGCGTTTTGATGTATTGTACTTGCAGCCCCTAAATAATGTGGTAACTATATAATATAATATGAGTGTATTCTCCGATTGTGTACTGGCGATAACAACAAACTACTCGATCTTTATTATTTCTATTGCGTATTGTACTCCATTGTACTTGGAATAAATCATAAGCCGTAATGAAAAAGATACGTGCCTACACCTAGATAATCGTAAAGATAACACAAAATTTAAAATAAGAACCAAAATAGCTCAAACAGGGTTAGCTGCAAAGTATTTTAAACTGGAGATATAATTGCTGTAACTGTTGTAACCGTCCTCTACTGAACGACCCTACATCTTGATTCTTCAACAAGTCTCATTAACATTTGAATTTTGCAGGTATTGCCAGCGGAAGCAATGATTGGGAAACGTTCTGTTAACATAGAACAATTAAGTCATTGCTGAACTAAATGATAATTGACCTTAACTTAGATTAAGTGTAACTGTAAATACAACGTATAAATCATCATTATTCAAATGGTGGAGACAGCAATGGCTCTCACAAAATGATTTTTAAGAAAATAGTTTTCTATGGACATTTATCTTATACCAGTATGCTTTTGTGCATAATGTAATCATTAAATAGTAATTTTTCATTGTTCTTCGAAATTCTAATTTTTGATTATTCTTAGAAATTGTAATTTTTGATTGTTCTTAGAAATCATATGTTAAGGATATTTTCCAGAAAAGCAACAGTTAGGTCAAATGTAAATTGGGCGGTTCATATTCATATATGCATAATTTGTTGTCTTGAATTCTTTTGACATTCATTGTTTTTAACGAATTATATGACATGAATATGTGAAAATCATACCCACCTTTTGATTATCAATCTCTCTAAGCCCATGTCTTTAGCATGTATCATAATAAAATGATGAGAGTTTTACCCATAAATTTGCTTTGATGTAACCCTTTGTTGCATATTGGTTACAGTTGTAATCTTTATACCTCCCTACATGCATTATAACCGTAAAGGGAGTAAATTATTTAAAATTTGTTCACGTCTAGTTGTGTTTGCGTTTATTGTGTAGATAGCTAACTTGTGCTAAGGGTATTTTCATCATCTAAGATTGTCAAACACAAAGTGAGTGTTGGAATTTTCATGTAGTATTTTGTAGGTGTTTGTAAATGGGAGAGTATTTTTCAAAGGTTGTGGTAGCTGTAGCAGGCTAAAACTTAAAAGTCGTAAAAACACAGGCTAAAAACTTGTGTTCTACACTATACTAATTACAGGAACTAGCTATATGATAAATTAGACAATATATTTATGCTATGTTACAAGTGAAAATTTAGTGCAGTATTATAAACATAGTTTAGGGATTCGATCTTGCTGAATACGAATGTTTTATCCCCACGTGCATGCACCCACCCTATCTTTAATCTTACGTCCCCAAACTCATGCGTGAGAAACATGAAATCCTACAAAAACAGCTTTCGTTTAAATGGAAATGCTCAGCTCAGCAGGTGTCAAACAAAACCAAGCGTTGACAAAAGATTAAAAAATACAGTCACCGAAGTGAACAAATCATGTGAATTGAGCAAATAAATATGCAGAAAGAGAAAAAAAGATTTAATTTTCAATCATTAATTAGTCTTTGTAAACGGAAAAAAGTTTTTCCGGTCATGCTTATTTTCACAGAATGAACGTTAAGGCATAATCAACTTATTAGTGATTATTTCATTGCCATTTTCAAACGTTGAACTTTATATGCGCCGAATGCATTAAAGACAAAAGAAAATGAGATAAAATTCCTCTAAAAGACTGCAAAACCATAGTTTGTACACGCACAAGTTCATACATTAGAATTGCAATGGCTTACATGTTGGCGTTGGAGTAAAAACAATGGAATACAATACTTCATTGGTATTCTCCATTTCTCATAAGTATTCTCTATGTAGAGAATACTAACGAGATATTGTTTTTTATTGTTCATTTTCTAACTTGTATTCTCTAAACAGCAAATACTAAAGAGGTTAAAGAATATTAATGATTGTCGTAACTCTACATTACATACCAGAACAATTAACAATGAGATGTATTTTAACTCGCTTCAAATGCATTTCGATGATGTAAATGTATTCTTGTGCACAAATTTAAAGCTAAAATAAATCTTACGAACGAATTAGAAAATAATTGCTCACAAATTTAAAAGAAAACACATGTGTATTGCTTAAACTGAAACAACATACGTGTTTCCACGTGTTCAATAACTTCTAAAGTATGTCGTGTATTCGCCGTACTAACACATGCTTCTTTCTTCTTATTTTTCTAATGTAAACATCAACCGAAGAAAGTGATTTTGAAACTGACATAATCAAAAACTTGGCCTTTTAGCTCTGTGTATGAGCATACAATGTAAATTGTATGCTCATTCATTGCACGAAAACAAAATCTTAGCAATTTTAGAAAACTTAGAACTACTTAAAGACATTAAATGCTACCTAATTTTTGCATTTAATTAGCTTTCTTAAGCCTAGTTTTCACTAGCGACATAAGCACAAGCGATTAAACAAAGCAAAGCATATTCTCTAGAGATTGAAGGAAATAAAAGAAAAAGGATTTTCTTTTCACTTTGTTTTTTTCATTTATGCTAACGTCAAGTTGCTGTGCTTATGCTGATGCATGTGTCATATGTGTCAGTCGCTTCATTGCCTTCTTTTGTATTCTCTTTTGTTTTGATGGTCCTTATAATTATGCTTATCTTGCTAGTAAAAAAAGGTTTTACACCAAAAAACAATTTTTGCAAACTAATAATCACTTGTTTGAAAACATGCATGGGACAAATTTAGTACTATAATAGAATCCTTCGTGACTTTGGCCATGTTCTAAGACGCTTAGTGCATAATCAGTTGTGTCCTATGGGATTGAGATACCCTCGCATTAAATAAAAATTCCTATATAATTTTCGGGAATTTCTATCTAATGCTCGAGACTCTTAATTCCATAGAACACACGTGATCCTTCTCTAACCTTTACAAAGTGAATTATAATTTGTTCAATTACAAATCGCTTAGCGTATGACTTAAAGGCATAGCCATTTAAATTCTATTGTTTAATTTCCTTTATACAAATTATAACATTGCAGTTTTGTGTTACAGCCTGTAGACAACGTATTAAACAATTATTTAACAATTGGGGTTACTGCAGTTTAGCGGACACCTTGGACGCTGACCCAAACCCTACCCTCATAATCCTAAGCAAAAACGAGCCCACGCTCCCCATACAAGCGCTTCGGGTGTCCGTTAAACTGTAGTCTTGCCAGCAATTGTTTAAATTATACTAACTCTATGAGTTTTCCTCCTATATGAAATATACGAGAATGAAAAGTACCAATGAATGCTAATTATAAAGCTAATTTTACAGGACGTAGAAAAAGTAAGACCTTCGTAAATTGACCTATTGTGATTATTTCAATGCTCTCATTATGCTATTGCTAAGCCCATGGGCTCATAAAGAATTGCAAGCTATACGTTCATATATTGCATAACTCAGGTATTAACATGAAAGCTTTTCTGTCCTTGAAATTGAATGTAACTTCTTGAGCAGGAACAGTATTTAGGCACCAGCAGGATTAGAATCGTGATCATGAAGGTGCTCCTTTTTTTAATAAGCCCTGTATACCGTTGCTAGAAGTGCAATAAGAATTGCGAAATACAATTAACAACACACCTAGGAACTACCCAATCAGACGACAACATATCTAGGAACTGACCAATCAGTCTGAGAACGTGCCATATGACTCTGTACAACAGTACGTGCAGAAAGAAACGATAAAAAAAGTCAAAACCCTTTGTCTGTGAAATACACCTTGAGTTTATTGAAACCACCTTCATTGAGGTAAATGTGTGGGATAATTGTTGGTTTTAACACAGTATCTTTCTTCTATTGAAGTGGTAAATGTAAACGACACTGTGATCTTTATTCATGTAAAGTATGAGACCTTAGATTTAGAAACTAATTTTCGTTCCATTCTCGATTTTAGACATGAATATTTCTCTGTTAAAGACAAAATCGTATTCAAATAAGGTTGAAAAACATCGATGTTTGTGGTTTTTATTCACCACGATGATGGACTCGCATAACTGTAAGGAAAGTGATGCGTATAAAATTAAATACAAATTTTAATAGTAGTTTTCTCCCATCATTTCAAAAATAGTCTTCATGACGAGGTTTTAAAAGTTTTTTTCAGTTTAACTCCTAAAATTATTTGTGTCTGGAGCTCATTATTAAAATCTGTGTCTTAATTAGTAAACGTGAAGTTGTATCAGCGGTTATTAGCCTGTTATTGACATGCATTTGTGTCGGTTTTACTCGATTTATCTTCGGAAACCTCTTTCTGAATATACTGCATTAAGTAGCTACGTATGTTTGCCGCGGACGTTTCCTTGCAGAAGAATATTTAGGATTATGTAGCTTAGATCGGAAATGCAAGTGAAGCTTAGCCAAAGAATGGCAACTTCTGTCGTGTTTGATATTTCATTTAGGTGTATTTTACCACTGCCTAGATAGTACAAGTTAACCTTTTTATATATTTAAGCTTTATAACAATTAACATAACTAATAACGTAAATCCTATTAAATTAACATAAATTAATAAACATAACATTCCCTCCGGCACAATTCTAATAGTTCTTTAGCTAACTTGTAGTGTTATTTTCCTAAAAGTTCGGGATTGATTACAATCTATCAAAATAAACTATATTTCATCAATTAAACGTTTTGGTTTCGTGCGATTACGCAGAGGATACCGGCGATTGTTTGATACCTGTTCACTGTCATTACAATTACCGGGCTCTTTGGTTATCTTGTCAGGTAAGGTCTGTACCTGCGGTAGAGGCGTGGTTTTCAAGGTCGTTGTGGTACTTACAGTTGGTTCTTTGAATATCTCTTGGTTGATATGTTTAGACACTGTATTTTCATCGAGCACCAGACTTTTTTGTGTCTCCAAGTTGGAGGATATTTCTCAGCATCTTGTTTTGTCTTACCATCTGGAACTGTTGATCCTGCCAGACTTCGCAATTGATCAATATGTCGTTTCCACAATACATCGTCCACCAACACTCGATATGTAACTGGGCTTAACTTCATTTGAATTACTCCCTGTATCCAACGATCTCTTCTTGCTCTATAATCTTTTACCATCACTGGATCTCCAATTTCTAACTTACGCTTTGTCAATTTCGGTAATTGATGTGATTTCTTATCCATTTTATTTGCCAGACTGGGATGCAATATATCTAATCTTGTTCTAAGTCGTCGACCCATAAGAATTTCTGCAGGTGTACATCCAGTTGCTGTATGTGGTGTGGTACGATATCCTAACAAAAATCTTGCTAATTTCTCTCCAGTAGATCCTTCTTCATTCTTACGAATCTTCATGGAGTTTTTAAATGTTCTCACTGCTCTTTCCGCTTCCCCATTTGAAGTAGGGTGGTACGGTGAAGACAAGTGCATTTGAATTCCATTGCCTTTTAGGAAATCTTTCATTTTCTGCGCAACAAATTGTGGACCATTGTTGATGACATAGATATAACCTCCATCCATTTAGACTTAGCATCTACCACTATTAAATACATGCCACCCTCGACTGGACCTGCAAAGTCGACATGAATTCTTTGCCATGGACGTACAGGCCAAATCCATGGATTATTAATGAACTTTAATGAACTTTAATGACTAACAATAGGTACTCCCTATAGGGCTTTTCAGTAACTATTTACAAAATTGATTACATATACATATTTGACTTATAAATGTATGTAAAAAAGACTATTATTAAAAGGATTTTGAAGATAAAAGTAACATTACAAGATGGAACTACAAAAGATCTTTTAAAGCTTTCTTAAAAGAATCAAGAGACTTGGAATTTTTCACATCTTTGTCTAAATTGTTCCACAATTTGACTGCCCTTTATGAAAATGTGCGTTGGCCCGTTGATGTTTTGAACCTCGGAATTTGAAATAGGTCTCTATTACGGGTGGCCCAATCGTGAGGACTCTTATGGAACTTTTTGCAGAGATATTCGGGGGCAAGGTTATTTACGCACTTGTATGTCAAGACTAAGTCCCGATAGTCTAGACACTGTTGAACAGGCTTCCAGTTTAATTGGCGCAAGAGTGGCGAAACATGGTCATATTTCCTGGTGCCCGTTACGATTTTACAGGCAAAGTTCTGCAGCAGTTGAAGTTTTGTTATATTTTTGTTGGTAGTATTCGACCACACGGACGAGCAATAAAACATTTTGCTGAAAACTAAGGCAGACATGATTTTCAGAAGTGTTGTTTGGTCAAAACTTTGTCTTACACGGTTTATTTGCATTAACTTGGACAGACATGAAGACGCTACCTTAGAGATGTGATCATCATACGATAGATGAGAATCCAGCGTCAAACCTAAGTCTTTAGTTGAGCTCACAGGAGTCAGGATTCTACCCAGGAAGGACAGGGATGGCTGCGCCGGTAATCTGTTTATAAGTTGTCGCGTGCCAAGCAAAAGAAATTTCTTTTTTTCTGGATTGATAAGGATTGATTATTTACTTTAAGTGGAGACTTACAGCGATTAAATTGACAACTGGTGCAATCTCTCACAGTCTGTTCAATGTCTTGGTCTAATGTTGACCACCACACATGAAAACGTGCTAAAGATTTCATCCGCACCATTCTTGGATGATTTATATGCAACTCCGACAACACCACTCCTTGATATTTGGTTGGAATTACCACTCGGGTTCCTCTCAATAGGCATCCTTCTACAGTAAACTCGTCTTGCTTTGTAAAGAAATATTGTAGTTCCTCTGGTAACTTTCCTTCTGGCCAACCATGTAACAGATAGTATACTACACGAGACAATACTGAATCTTTTTACATAGCCTCTCTAATCATACTTACTGAAACAGGTGACCGCTTCAGTTGAACGCTGTTTACTGCCGCTGCCTCTTCCTCCCATTCGTCCGGTTCTTCAACACTTTTCCTAGGTAACCGGGACAACGCATCAACATTCGCATTGTTCTTTGAAGTTCGGTATTCAATATCATACTGATATGCACCCAGTTGAATCGCCCATCTCTGCAAGCGGGAGACTGCCAAGACAGGAACACCTCGTTTAGGTCCCAGTATCATAGTAAGCGGTTTATGATCTGTGATTAAAGAAAAACGTCTTCCATACACATACTGATGAAACTTCTTCAATCCAAAAATAATTGCAAGGGCCTCTTTCTCGATCATAGAATAGTTTTGCTCACTAGAAGAAAGTGTTCTCGAGGCATAAGCTATTGGTTGTTCTTCTCCTTCGTCCGATACATTTGATAGAACAGCACCTATTCCACACGATGAGGCATCTGTCGCTAATCTCACGGGTTTCTTGGGGTCGTAATGTGTTAATACTGGTGCCGTTTCCAATAGGACTTTTAAAGTCTCAAAGGATTTCTGACATTCTTCCGACCATTTCCAAGTAACTTCTTGTGACAGTAAACAATTCAGAGGATTAACCAACTTTGCCATATTTGGAATAAACTTACGATAATAGTTCACTAGCCCCAGAAATGACTTCAATTCTGTTGGATTTTCCGGAGTTGGTACCTCCCTTATAGCTTGAATTTACGAGGCGATGGATGGATTCCTTGTCGATCCACGACAAATGCGAAATATTCCACTGAAGGTTGCATAAAAATGCACTTTGATTTCTTCAATTTGATTCCCATATTTTGAAGACGTTTCAGTGCTCTCTCCAGATTCCGAAAATGTTCTTCATCATTTTTACCCGTAATTATCAAATCATCAAGTATACCTCCTACTCCCTGTAAACCATTCAAAACCATATCCATCGTTCTTTGAAAAATAGCTGGGCTAGCTGAAACTCCAAATGGCAGTCTTGTATACCTATACAAATCCAAATGTGTGTTATTGTAACATAATGTTGTGATTCTTCGTCCAAAACAACTTGCTGATATGCTGCCGACAGATCTATCTTTGAAAATTTCTCGCCTCCTCGTAGCTTTGTAAATAGTTCTTCAGCTGTCGGCATTGGATATTCTTGAACGTCTAGACTTTGGTTAATTCTCACTTTATAATCGCCACAGATCCGTACACTACCATCAGGTTTCAACACTGGCACGTTAGGGGGTCGCCCAATATGAAAACTCTACCTTTTCCAGTACCCCAAGTTTCTCTAAACGGTAGATTTCTTCCTTTACCTTGTCTTTCAGCGCAAACGGGATTGATCTAGGTTTAAAAAACTTTGGATTTGAGTTTGGTTTCATGTATAAATGTGCCTTAACTCCTTTTACTGTCCCCAACGAATTGTCAACTAAGGACGCATATTGAATTATTAATTGCTCCACATTTTTGACAGGTTTTGCCACTACTTGTTTTATTTGACTCCAGTTAAGCTTTAAAACTGCGGGCCAATTTCATCCCAACAACACAGGACCTTTATTTTGTGTTATTACAATTGGTAACTTAGCTTTTTGTTTTCCATGTTCAACGCAAACGTCTACTTCTCCCCTCACTGGAACTTCATGCCCAGAATAACTTTGCAGTCTAAAGTTGGACTTGCGTATGCATTTTTCAGACAACACCTTTCTCCACACATTTTCTGGCATAATTGATACTGCAGCTCCGTGTCCACTTCCATCTTTACTGACTTTCCATCCATTAGGACTAATACTTCCATCTCTTTACATTTCTTTCTCGAATCAGTTAATGTGAACACCGGCCATGTTTTCATATCTTCTTCTTGGCTTTCGCTGTCACTGTCAACGTTGCTATGTGTTTTAACGTTGTGAATTTCGCTGGATTTTTTTTTTTCTTTTCTTAGCATCTTCCCTTCTCGACTTTTCACTTTTTGTATTCTTCATGTTGTTGCCATCTCTCCTGGGACACTTCTTTAATATATGTCCATAATTTTGACAACCGTGACATTTGGACTTCCGAAAATAACATTTATCGGGAGAATGATTTTTCTTACCACAGCGAAAACACTCGAGGGATGCTGTTTGCACTCGGTTCATTAATTCTCCGTGTAACGCTGATGTTTCTCTCTCCGTTAATTCAGCCGCACAAGCTTTTTCTACCGCAGACTTTAAAGTCAAATCAACTTCGCCTAGTAGCTTACGTCGAATCGATCGATCTCGCAATCCACAAACAAATCGATCTCGAATTGCTTCGTCTCGATAACTTCCAAATTCACATGTTTCTGCTAATCTCTGCAATTTGGCAAGATATTCCCTAATCGATTCCGCTTGTCCTTGCTCAGCCTTGTGGAACTTATATCGTTCAGCAATAACTATTGGTTTTGGCTCAAGATGTTGCGTTAAAGTTTCTACAATTTGGTTATATGTAAGTTCTTTTGATCTTCTTGGTGCTGTAATTGATCTTAACAACGCATACATCTTACTACCCATTAAGGTAAGTATGCTCGAGGCTTGCTTTTCTCTTGCTACATTATTTACTTCGAAGAATATTTCAAGCCGCTCAACGTACTGCTTCCAATCTGTACTCGTTGAATATTCTTCCATATGTCCCATAAAGGGCACATTAAAACCAACATTTGTCTGTGTACTTTGGGCTTCTTCGCCCATTAGAATCGAATCTTTGTCGCCAACTGTAGTGTTTGATATTTCATTTAGGTGTATTTTACCACTGCCTAGATAGTACAAGTTAACTCCTTTTATAAATTTAAGCTTTATAACCATTAACATAACTAATAACGTAAATCCTATTAAATTAACATAAATTAATAAACATAACAACTTCTACTTGGATTAGTGGGTACAAATGGTACTTTAGCGTAGAGGATGCAAATAGCATCTGTAAGAAGACCCTAGAAGACTGGATCTAGCGAACAAGACCTATTGAAGACAAAGAAAAGATGGTGGTTCTGGTGTAAAGTAAAAATATATCTTTCTCCTAGTACGGTAAAAGCATGCAGTCCTGGTAGTTAGCCAATTTCATGAACGGCTTTCTACAGGGACTATTAAGGCACTCTTGGATCCCCTATAATGCATGAGTAGTTCAACCCACCCCGGTTGGAGGTCACCCGTATGTGCTACATGCACTAAGTTAAGTTACGTTAAGGGCATGATGGGTTACCTCCTTCAAGAGGCACTTCTTTTCAGGGCGGAATTCTGGTGTCATGAGCAGGTAGAAAGTTTAGATAGCTCAGGCATGCGCTGTAGTTGACGCGAGTAGTTGCCATGCTCTGATAACCAAAGTAGAGTTAGTACCTTTATTAATTTAAATGACAAACACCAGTTTAGAGAGAAATTACTGAATAAAAATGTTTGGAAGAAACTTCCAATTCTTCTGTCGGTCATTTTCATACGACAAATTGAAACTTAAAAAGTATTCTGTTTGTTTAAGACATTTACAGTTTAGTGGCGGCGTGGCAGTAATTATTGTAAATGTAAAAAGTGGTATGTTGTCTTCTTTTAAAGCAGACTTCTTTCTTGGGAATTTCAATACTTTTTTCACAGCGGAAACGAGCAAAAAGTAAATGATTAGTACACCAGGTAATGGTATGCGAAATGCCTTCATAAAGAACCTAAAAGGAAACATAGTTTTAATAAAAGTGTCTTGTTTGTATTCTTTAATTATTAGTGTGAAGACAAGTCGCAGACGTTGTCACATATTTTACTTCGTAGTAACTAAGGTTTCCATGTTCGCCAATCAAGTTGCTATCAAAGTCAAGTACGAAGGATAATCGTCAAACGGCTGTTTGGTTAAATCATCACCAGTTCCTCGGTAACCAAACTAAACGGGTGCTTCTTCAAGTAATTAATGTTGATATTGTTTTTTGATATTGACTACATTTTTCCAAAATGATTGTTTGCACAAGTGAACCCCTTTCGGCTCTATAAAATACTTGAAGTACTTTCATCTTATCCATATCATGCAGCAAATGCTGGTTCTAATATTTTAAACGTTGGTAGCACCGGGCGCGCAAAGCACTGAATGAAAACGGTGCAAAATAAGGAAGCTTAAGTGGCGCTAGGTACGACTTGGATATGGATTAGATGTTAAAAAGCACACGTTTTACAAAATTCCCATCAAAAACAATTTTCTCGTTCAAAGTAGAAAATTGTCTAGTTCAATGATAGATTTGTGTGTCGGTAAACTGTGGCGAATTCCGTGTTCGTTAAAAATAGAGAATTTTACAAAAATGACTACATACCTGGAAGTCAATATTTTCAGCCTTGAAAGTGCATTTCATTCTTTCTCTTTTACTTTTTTGGCTCTTTGAATCGCTTCAAAGGTATGTAAAGTTTATTGTTTGTAAAGGTTCCCCCGGGGCGCGGAATTTCGGCTAAAGTCCCTAGTGGTTTTTTCCTGTTCAGTATTCTCCAAGTTAATGTGACTTTGTGTTTGGTCTTGGTTTATACCGTTCAGGTTTTTCCATTAGGGATTTTTTATTTCGGTAAAGTCTAAAAAAACAGTAACTTTGGTAAGGGACTATAGTGGTACTTCATGTTATATACAACCATCAAAACTAAAGATAGAATTCATTTTGTAAAGAAGTTGTTTAGAGTACGTGCTCCCGATAAAGTTAACGTGAACACAAACCATTTTTGACCGTCTGACAATCTTCGGAAGATAAAATTTCTTAATTATTGAATAAATCTATGATCTGTTTAATTTATTCTAAGCTGCTTTAATTTACCCAAAATGTCACACATCTTTTTTGAGCGGTACAGCTTAGTTTTTGGGTTCGATTCCCAATACACTGTTCTTGTGTCAGATATGCCCATATTATAGTTGATATTTTTAAGTAAGTCCTTACGTAAACATCTCAAATTGTACATTGTAATAGGAAAGGCATTTATGGCTATAAAATACTATTCTTGGTTATAATTTTATTGGCAAATGTATGTTGTCTAGTCTTAAAACGAATTTTTTTGAAATTCATTCACTCTGAAGAAGTCTTAAAAGTAAAGAAGATGATTTTCTTCTTTTTCCGTAGTTTATGTGTAGAAAGTGTAAATACAAATGCTTCAATTTGATTAAATTAAATTTTGGCTTTCTAAAATGTTCATAACGGTTATTGACACTTCCATCAAATTTTGGGGGTAAATGGGATAATAATTTACACTCGTTTCCCTCAAGTGAACTGTGATCCTCTAGCTGGTGGATTTCAGCAGGTGGTTTATCAGACTTATCTACTGCTTCATAAGTTATAAAGCATACATTTTTACTAAGTGGTATAGAATATCCCTTACAATTCAGCTCGATGTTATACTTGGAAATGTACAACTACTCTTGACATGAAAATTTTTATGTATGCAATCACGAGAACGTTTGAAATGGCATTGTACTTTCTAAAACAGTTTATGCATATCTCCTTTCTTTCGCGAGATATTGAAATTTTTGTTATTTCTATTTCATCCAACTTGTGACGTCATATTGCATAATGAGTTCTAAAAATGTTTCAAATAATCTTCATTTTCCTGACAACTTTAGGTTGATACTAATAGGCAGCATTTTATATCATCAAACACGTCACAAGAAATAAAACTATGTCCTTGGGAAGTAAAGTATCGTTAAATATACCTAATACTCTAGCTCTCATTATGCAATGTGACGTCACAAGTTAGATAAATCGGACATAGCATAAACCTCAATATCTCAAGAATTAAAAGTGATTGCATAAACTTTTTAAAAGTACACTGTCATTGCAAACATAAAATTTTCGTGTCATAGGCCCTTTAAAAAAGCATACTAATTGCTCAGTAAACGAATACAAAATAATTTATAGTCTTGTGAAGATTGATGAAGATTAGTTACTATTACAAGGCAATCCTCGTTGCCAAAGTCAAACATGGTTGTACAATTCAGAAAATCTAGCTGTCATATGTTACAACTCATTGTAAAATAAGAACGTTTCTAAAATCTTAAATACATCGATGCAGTAAACTCTGGAATAAATCCAAACAACTTAAGAGGCAAAAATGTCAGCCTTAGTCAATTCAAGAAAAACCTTCGCACTTATTATACATTATATAAATCGTGTTGTTTTTAATGTTTGCAACGTTGTGTTTAAAAGGCTGCAGTAACTGGAAAAAGCTGTAGCATTGTTCTTTGTCATTTAGAAGTTATTCACGTTCTTTTGTTGTTATAGTTTGCTCTTTGCGAAGTTAATTCAATAAAATAAAGCCCAAAAGCTCAAAATTTATATAAATGATTTACAAAACTTTCAACTAAATCTGTCACACAACTATTACTGAGTGCTTTCATGTGACATTAATGTGCGAATACCTACCAGATGATATGGGATCTGAGATGATAAAATCAACATAACTTTGCACTATTTTCTATCTGTGGAATAAATACAAGGTCTTACAGCAGTTATAAGATTATTTTGAAACTTTACTCAGTAAATGTGAAAGTCAGAGGCTTTTAGAATATAGGCAATAGATAGCGCCGTAGTTAACCTTACGTGTATTTAGGTGTATATTCAACATTCATTTAAAAAATCTTAAATACATGGCAGTTGCATTTTAGTTGTATGGATTTAGGCACGAAATAAGTGTCAGAGTTACAGCGCATGAAATAAGCAAAATATCAGAAAGTGATGACAACTATGATTATTTTTCTATACAACTAATTAAAATAATATTGAGTCCATATACAAATTATTAGACGAAATGCTGTCAATCACTCAATTTTATGAAAATGTTATTTACTTCAACTATTTTAAATTGATCAGCTACGTAATTAATGTGAGATAGTAAAACACAAAAGATTCTATTTATGGATTTATGCACAACTTCTGATGGTCAGTTTTATATAATAAGGAACTCCCAAGAGCCCAAAACACCAAGGCCAGACTTTTAGTAATTATAATAATTTCAGAAATACAATTTTTTATCGTATAAGAGTTTATTATGTTGGATGAATGTAGAGCAAAATTTATCAGTGCAGCCAAGCATAAAAGTTAACTTTTAATGTCGTATTCGCCTTCAGTCTTTTCCAAAACAATTTACAGTAAAAATTAAATATATACATTGCATCAATGAATTTCACAGGCTATAGATTCATCAGCAACGGGGTGAAATATCATATAAATACGTCGTGGAATCTGTTTTTCTTAATAATTATCAAATAAGATCTCTACAGTATCAATGATTTCTTAATAGCTACTTTTTACCCACAACAGGTTCTGTTGTATCTAAATTGCTTATTGATGTGGTTCACTTTTATTAAAATTAAAAAGTTCTTGAGTTCTGGTTTGTTTTTCAATTCTTCATTTGACCTGACAGCAGCATGTACCCAAACAGGGAGATTAGGAAATGTTCGGAGAAAAACGCCTTGTAATCGCCAATCTTATAAAATGGTTTTCGTTTTCGTTTTGTTAGTTCCTTCCAATGCAGGTCAATATTTCGAATAAGTCTTAAGCAATCTGTCCATGAAGAATTATAGGTCCTTCATTCACCAAATAACCAAATAAATATAAACATCAATATCCATTTGGCTTCTCCAATCTGAGGATTCGCTATTCAATTGTTGAACGGCACTACACAGGGGATCATTTGTCTTAATTCTGAGGATTTCCAACATTACATAATAAATCAAATTTCTCGTGATCCGATATAAGAAATGGATGTTTTAATGCTTCGCTAGCCGATGGTCTGTTCTCAGGTTTTAGATTTAACATCCACGACAGAAGGTCCTTTAGTGTTTCATCTTTGATTTCTTTCAAACCAACAGGGTTTCCATTTAGCATGTTGTCCAGTCTATACCGTTGAATTCCAAAAGGATGTTTCCCTTTTGTTGCAACATAATAAGCTACCATCCCTGCATTCTAAAATAACAAAAAGCGTTACATCAAAATGCAATTTGACAACATCGAGTTTCTTTACAACTTACAAATGTTTACATTTCTACACTTACATATACATCAGAACTTCTTTTGTAACGCGCTTTATCAAATGAATCTTCATCTTCTATATATGATTCAGGAGCAATCCAATACTCCGTTCCTTTGTTAGGACTGCTATTATGTGTTGTAGAACCTTTCTTCAATATTCGACTAATGCCAAAGTCAGCTATCAGAAAGTTGCCTTTTGTGTCTCGGAGAACATTGCTGGGCTTTAAGTCCCGATGAACAATAGGATTTTCGCCACTATGGAGATCAGCTAATCCTCGCAAAATTTGTCTGAGAATTTTGGGAAGAACTTTTTGAAGATCTTCCAAAGTAGATTTCACATAACTCTCCAACGACTCTTCACATAAGTCTAATATTAAGTAGACATACTCCGTTCCAGTATCTTCTTCTAAGAAGGAATAATTCACAACATATTTCGATTTTTTTGCGTTGAATTGATTTAAAATTTCCTTTTCCTGCAGCGCAAGCTCTTTGTATCTATCTTGATGTATTCGTTTCACTGCTTTACCGTAACCATCCTTACCCAGTCCAAGATAAACACGGGTTGCACCACTTCCTTCACCAATGCAAAACTCTTTTGAGAAAATTACTCGTACATTGCCCACCTCTTTAACCTCAACACTGGAATTGCGTCCATATTCAATCAATTTTAAAAACAATTCTCTATGTTTCGCTGATTCATCAATGTATTTCCACTCTTGCAACACCAATTCTAAAAAATTTAGTTAAAATATTATATTTAAGGGTGAAAGAAACGAAATAAATACGTCAAAATAGCTTAAACTTTCCCAATCAGTAAAGGATATTATTTGCTACCGCACATTTTTGAAAAACTTATCAACAACCATTAGAAAAATCATAAGTTCTTCATTGTACAATCAAATCAGGCAACATTTGAGGTTAGCTTATACCATACAATTAATCAGAAAAACTTCTTTCTGCAGTAATTTCATATATTTTTGTAGTAAATAACCTTAAGTTTTTCGAAAATATTAAATTTAAATTTTGAGAGCATATTTTTAGAGTCTAAAAATTTGTTTATAGCAGAAGATAACAAAAAAGCTTCATTTAATTTTTCTTTCCATTCTCGATACTCATCCTTTAGATAGACTATCTAAGGCTTGATGCCAAATATGAACATTGAAGTTCGATCAGCAGCGAAAACTGAACAATTATTCTCTCAAACGTTGTTGCCATGTTTTAAATACACTTCATTTTCCTGACAACTTTACGTTGATAAAATTTGGCAGTATGTTATATCATTAACACATCACAAAGAAAAAAAAACTCTGCAAAGTTGAAGTAAATTAATTCTAGTTCTCATTATGCAACGTGACGTCACAAGTTAGATGAATTGAACAAAATAAAAGCTTCAATATCTTGAGAACGAATAGAGATACGCATAAGTTAGTAGAGAAATTCCGTTGTCATATTAAAATTTCTGTTCAATAAAAGTATAAAACAGGCTGCAAAATTTTCATTTTACAGACATCTTATGCTTTAACTCTAAATTATCTGACACGTACTGTTTCTCTAATTCACCTTGGTAAAGTGAACCTCGTTATCTTTATGTCTGCAAACTCAAGCCCTACCTCCTGTTTTTCTTATTCTCGTGCAACAATGCTGGTATTGTTTTACCTTTGCCAAATTGAAGATGGTTTTTGCAGTTTTCAATTATTTATTAAGCTTATGATGATTTATTTACAAAAAAAAATTTGTCTGTCATGTTTCTATTGTGTCCGGGTTTTTGCTTTCGAGAAAATTTCGGGCTTGATGAAATTTTTACTCAGGTAGAAAAGGAATCATGCAATTCAATAAATTTTTAACACCACAAAAAAAGTAAGCGATTTAAATTCTTATATATTTCAGTCCTTTTCTTAAATTCCTATCTGTTTTAGAAACATGTGAAAGAAATCATGATGTTGTAGTGCTAAAGTATAAATTAATTGAAAAGATAAGCACACGAACGATGCAAGCAAATGATCGAACTTCCGGCTTCAAATGTTGTAACATCACTTTTCTATTTTATGTATGATGCAGAACATTTCAATTGTTTTTGGCTACCATAATCATGTTTTACTAATATGAAAAATTTTCTCGTATAACAGAACTGTCCTTTGGAGATCTCTTATAAATAAAGTTAAAAAGAGCAATTGAGCAAAATATTTCCAAGCTTTCACAACAAGTTTTCAGATCAATTTTATATTTTTCCATATGGTGCCTGTCAATTTATTGGTCTTTTTGTTTAACTATTTTTGTATTATGTTTAATGTAGACTACGTTGGATTTCACAAGAAATCAGTCGACCACAATTGAAGATATGAAGACACCCCTCTCCCACCCAATAAAACTTTCTACTCTCGGTCCTCTATACAGCGGTCTGTGCTACATTATCTGAGAAAACATAATACAGCCATTGAGTTTTGTAAGCTTTATTTCAGCAAAAGCTTAATAAACCCAGTAGCTTACGTAGCAGACGCTTAGTAAACCCCACAATTGAAGATATGAATACCCCCCTCTCCCACCCAACTATAAGTTATAGTTTCGGTCCTCTATGTAGTGGTCCGTGCTACAATATCTGAGGAAACATGATACAGCCGTTGAGTTCTGTAAGCGATATTTTTAGCAGCAGCGTTATTAAACACCCCTCTCCCATCGCTCTAAGAAATAGTTTCGGTCCTCTATACAGTGGTCCGTGCTACAATATCTGAGAAAAAATGATACAGCCATTGAGTTCTGTAAGCGATATTTCAGCAGCAGCGTTATTCTTGCTCAATCGGGTGTCTTAAGTCGTAAGTGGCTTGGTCTGATTCACGTGCGCTTTTTAATGGAGGTCATTAAGCCAGTGGACAATCATCAATTAAGACACAGTTTGAATCATAAATGAGATTTATGGACTCACGTGCTCTTCTAATATAGTGCAAAAAATTATATTTATTTATTTTGAGATCAGTGGGAGTAATTTATTGAAATCAATGAATAAAGTCGTTGTTTTCATGTTTTGTGATTAGTAACGTTATTTGCTTATCTATTTTGGGAAATTTTCTAGTAGAAAAAAAACTGATGCAGCAACTTTTATGCTCTATGCAACTTTTAAAATGCAATTCTAAGTAAAAAGGATTCAAAATTTAATTCTAAGCTACAAAATGATCTCTGTGGACTTTTGAATGATGTTCACACTGATGAGGTATTCTCTGGTATACATAACAAGGAGAAATTTAAAAAAAATTTGTAATTGTCTGTAAATTTAGAATTTAGAAGATCGTTTAATAAATATGCAATTTAATGCTATATTTGTCATAATAAAATTGTAAATAGCCTTCTTTTATTGTGGAATTCACATCGTCAAATCGGCCCATTTTCCATATAATTTTGAGGTATTTTACTTACAATGAACAGGAATTCTTATTTATTAAAGTTTATTGAGAAAGTCGGTTTGATGGTGGCCGTTCTTTGTATAATTTTTAATGTCATTAGCTAGGTAATGTATGCATGGTGGTGCAAACGTGAAGTATGACAGTATATCCAAAGGATAGTTTGTTGAGAAGTTTTTATGATTAGACAAGCAGAATACAATAAACGTTCTTTAAAAAAATAGATTGCATGATATCATTATCACCTCATGTCTCATCTTAATTTTAACTGACTGATAATGTGCTTCAAGTACAAATTTTGAAGTGACAAGATTTTACTGCCATGGTTAAAATAGATTAAACCAGACGCTAATGTTACCATTCAGTGTTGCTTAGACATGTGATGAAAAAAATTCATATATCTCATAACATTTGTTAAAGTAAAAGGTTGACTGAATACTGTATTTAAAGAAATTTTTTATTAGAACTTGGGTTCGGCGATGTTTTTTTAATTGTTTTAACATGCTGTAAGCCAGGAGCAAAAAACATAATTTCTATCTGGAAAAAAGTTATACTCCGACTAATCTCATGTACTCTAATAAAGAAAATAGGAATTATTGTAATCAAACACGAGCACTTTTAAAACAACTGGTCTAACCTGAACACTTCTAAAATGCAGGGTCCCACCTGTATGGTGTACATTATGCAAGATTTATTTTAAAAGGTTTGGCCCATTTATTATAATTCTTTTTCTTCAATACAACTTATGAAATGTAGTCAATTTGAGCACTTTATGAAAAGAGTTGCGCCACTTTCTTGCTACGCAGGATTTATTGAGATAAACAAAGACTTGTCAAATTGTGCTGAGCACTGTCCTCCGGTAAAAAGTACATTAAAATTATTTGTCGTTCGCAAAGGAAAATTTAAGTCATTGATACAGTATTGAACATACGTAATAAACGAACGTTTGAAGTCCGAAAGTGGAACACTGTATACGTACATCATGCATATTATTAAATAATATAAATATTTAAAAAAACAAATACCAATCAAATGACTTGAATTGTGATACAATACAAAAGAAATATGCTTAGGTTATGCAATATATATAAAATAAAATATAATTAAAAGGCATACCTTGTTTTGTATTTTCAACACCAGGAGAATTTCAACATCTTTGCATTAGCATCATCACCACTTGTGATTTCTATGAACAATATTTTAAAAAACATTATCCACACAAGCTGTGTATTTCTATTTTGACAACAAGTAAAAAAATGAGTTTAAAGCTAGCACTCGAAAAGAAATAACACAAATAAATTGGAAAGTTTTGGATAGAAGCTTTTTAAAACTATAAATTTCATTTCGTTTTGCCCATTAGTTCCAAAATTTCATATACATATATTACGCACTGTTTTACATGACTGACATTTTCAAGTAATAAAATGACCTTACAAAAGGAAATATTGCGGGGGCAGAATATATTTTCACGTAATGAACCAGCTTTCATTAGGGTAAGATTACCAATAAATATAGATAAACAAACTTCATGAATTACGACTGCCAAAGAGAATTTTGATAAAATACAAGACAATAGACACTGTATATAGAAAACATTATTTATCTAGATTAAGCAATGTTTACTATATGGAGTGTCTATTGTCTTTACAAAATTTCATGAAACAAACAGCAAATGTTTTGTAAAACGAAAATAAAACAAAACAAAAAAACATGGTATCAATGTAAGTTAAAAAAGAACACTCGAAAAGCGGGTTTAATTATCTAGGCGACATAATTTCAAACTACATATTTTCTGCTAGCAAAAACTAGACGAGTGAAAACCAGTCCTTGCAAAACCGAAAGGATGGGAAAAGAAAAGAAAGCTTCGTTTCAGGTCAAATAATACCATAATATTTTCTTGCTGTAAAAAGTAATACACTGAAAATGGCATAGGCTTGCTGAAATATGTCTGTCCTGAAATCATCCCGAATTATTTCCAATGTTTGTCAATCTTTCAGTCTGATTTTCTTGAATACATAATTTTCACTGAGCTGGGTTTGGTGAGTCTTACAACTAACAATGAGTTTATAGCTGTTATACATCTTGAGCAATGTTTGTTTGATTAAAATGTTTTGTTTCCATCTCACTGTTCTTTAGAGTGGGTTTTATGTATCTGTTTTTAGTTTATAGGTAGATTTTTGAATTATTCTTTTTGTTGATTAATGTAAATATGAATCCCAACTGCGTTTTAATTATTGCTTTGGCTCTTTTGTTTGTCAACAAAAAAAATGAACAACCCAGTCCTCACATGAAACTATTTGTATGTCAATGAACAATTTAAATCTAGGACTTTAAATTCATTATGGCCAAATTTTTTTGTATTATACTATGAAATTTGTATAAATTCTTACCTAAAGATTGTTTTTGAATTTCCAGAGCTTTTCCGTGAACTTCTTTAGCCTTGTCGTAGTTTCCAGTTTTTCCAAGCACATTACCAAGATTGTATAAAGACGAAGCGACATGAACATGATTTGGACCTAACGATTGTTTTCGAATTTCTAGAGGTTTTTCGTAAAACTTTATAGCTTTGTCGTAGTTTCCAGTCTTATAATACACATTACCAAGATTGATGAAAGAATCAGCAACATCAACATGATTTGGACCTAACGATTGTTTTTGAATTTCCAGAGCTTTTTCGTAAAACTCTACGGCTTTGTCGTAGTTTCCAGTATTATCAAACACCACACCAAGATTGTTTAAAGACGCAGCGACATCAACATGTATTGGACCTAACGATTGTTTTCGAATTTCCAGAGCTTTTTCGTAAAACTCTACGGCTTTGTCGTAGTTTCCAGTTTCATCAAACACCACACCAAGATTGTTTAAAGACTGAGCGACATCAACATGATTTGGACCTAACGATTGTTTTCGAATTTCTAGAGCTTTTTCATGAACCTCTATAGCTTTGTCGTAGTTTCCAGTTTTTTCAAGCACATTACCAAGATTGTTTAAAGACGTAGCGACATCAACATGATTTGGACCTAACGATTGTTTTCGAATTTCCAGAGCTTTTCGAAAACTCTATAGCTTTGTCGTAGTTTCCAGTATTTTCAAGCACAATAGCAAGATTGTTTAAAGACGTAGCGACATCAACATGATTTGGACCTAACGATTGTTTTCTAATTTCCAGAGCTCTTTCGTAAAACTCTATAGCTTTGTCGTAGTTTCCAGTATTTTCAAGCACATTACCCAGATTATTTAAAGACGTAGCGACATCAACATGATTTGGACCTAACGATTGTTTTTGAATTTCCAGAGCTTTTTCATGATGATTTTTTGCTTTGCTATACTTCCCAGTGTCATGGTATAAAAGACCGAGGGTACTAAAATACCAAGCTTTGTCATAACTAGATAGTTCTGATTTAAATTTATCCAATAATCCAAGAGCAAGACCGTATTTCCCAAAATGTCTTAATCTGTCAACAAAATATTGAAAAACTTGTAAAGTGTTCATGTAGATTTTCGTCTTGTTGGTCTTTAATAATTGAACAATTTTTTCAAGATGTGGCATTAATTTGATTTCGTCGTCTCTCTCTTTAAACATGTAAAGTGCTTTGGATATTTGATCAACGTTAGTTTCCATTTCATGTTCTTCATTTAAATGTTCAGATTGATACACAATAACTGCTTTGTGAACAATACGATGTAGACTAATGTCATTATTTTCTGAATGCAAGAACAATGAGCAGTCATTTAAACAAAGACATATATCTTCCTTTGAGTGTTTGGGATCAAATTCTTGAACATAAAAAACAATAATGTCTCGTGGTATAAGATCAAACGATATCATAGAAAAAAAGTTAATAACATTTGCCAATATTGAGGATTCTTCAGCATTTTGTCTGACAGCTAAAAGTGAAGCTTGTAACATACTTCTTGGATATACCGAGTTATATTTAACAAAAATGGCGTCCATGCTTTCTTCTTCTTCTGAACATATTTTCTTTAAATATTGACTCCAAGTAAATGAACAGTTGACTTTTTTTACACGACTGAAATAACAACCAGCAGCAACCAAAGCCAGCGGTTGGCGATCTAATGCGTGCGATACTTCATTCAACAATTGATCATCAGCATGTTCAATAGTGTATTGCTTTAACAGTTGAAAACATTCCCTATTATTCATTCCACTTCTGATAGAAATATGTTTGTTAAACTCATCGTCTTGAGGTACGGCATCTGTGTTCTGGATGGTTACTATGATTTGTCCATTTCTCCACATGGGATCGCCAACTTGGGGAAGTAATGAAGAAATTTTTCCAAGCTGTACCACGTTGTCTACAATGATCAACCAATTTTGCCATACTTTTAATCGTGTGGATACTAACGATCGCAAATTCTTCACTTTGTCTGTGATGGAACAGTTTTCATTTTCAAATTTTTTAATCATATATTTGTCACAGTTTAAACGGTATCCAAGTTCACAGTAAGTTTTTAAAAGAGATTCCTCATTTTTTCCATCGATAGTCATTACAAACGAAGTTCTATTTGTCCAATTACACGATATTTTTTCACAAACCTGTCTTGCAAGTTGTGATTTACCACTGCCAGGATTACCAGTGATGTAAAAATATGTCAGTTTATCATTGTTATCATTCCTTAATTTTTCAAGATCTTTTATAATTTTATCTCGTAATTCAGTACGTTCAACGAAAAAATGATTAGGTTTTGAAGGAAGAACTTGGAATAAATCAAAACTGTCACGATGATTTTTTGCCGAAATGGATGAAACTTGTTTCATACTATCATTTTACGAATTCCTTGAAATGATTTGCTAAATGATAAATACTTTACGACGTGGTGGCGTCCTAGACCCAGATCCCTCGCAAATATTTGACGACGTCTTAGACGAAACGTTGTGTTTGCTAAATCACTCTATTGTCTACGAAGAAATAACAATTTATTCGTTTATTTTCACTACGAAGAAAAAAAGTCAGCACATTGTGCCAAAAATATAATCAAGAAAATAATGATTAGGTGGCGTTTATCCCAAATAAAAAAGATTAGATTTGATTGGATAATTGAATCTGGTGCCACTTAGCATATGATGTTTGAACATGACAATTTATCGGACTATGAAGAGTTGAGAAAGCCAACGGAAGTAATTCATGGGGATGAGCGTTTAATATTGGTTTATGGGAAAGGAACTCACCGCGTGGCCATTAATTTATATAAGTCACATCAACGTAACGTAATCTGGGGCGCAAAGTGCAACATTTCCCATAGAAGATGAAATATGTGAGCCGTTAAACGAAGCTTAAGCTTAAGAAGTCAGTCAGTGTCTTCTCCGTGATGTATGTCATGTAAGAAAAGTACAATTTAACACATATTTTTGAAACGGAAAATGTATGGTGGCCGTCAAATGAAGACACTTTGCGAGCAAATTTTAATTGCTTCGACAAAGTTCTGTTGGGTTAACAGGTATTTTGAATAGTTTTTTTTAATATAGGGGGGGGGATCAGTTGCGTGCTAGGAACACTGTAGGGGGGGCAGTCAGCTACTACTGAAAATGAGCCCTAAATATATAGACTTTAAAAACAGGGCCCAAAGCCTGAGCCGAGAACCTAAGGTGCGAGTAGTGTTTGGGGAGTCCGTGGGCAAATGCTTCCAAGGAAAATTTTTTATTAAGAAGCTCTAAAATGCCATTTCCTGTACTTTGGGGTGCATTTCTCGCAGTTTTTGCTCATTACCTACCTGTGAGCAGACTATAAAACTACATGTTTTACTGCAAAAAGCAGACGACCGACAGACCGTCTTCCATCCATCCCATTGATCTCCATACGTATGTTCGGATTGCATGCAGCTAGCATGAACAAATTCTACAAAAACAAAATATTTTTACTTTGTGCGCATGATCGGACCTTCCTACAAAACAACTGAAGATATCAATATATACAAGCGCTAGCTTTGCAATCGATCGCAAAAATCATGGTTAAATCTCATTAGTTTAGCAAATTTTGTACTTGTATAGTTGTATTTAGCACACTTTGAACAAACATTAAGTTTTGCAATCCACAAAAAATCGTTGTAGATATAGCAAAAATATATTATGATATTGTACATATGAATATAATTACATTCAATTTAAGTGGTGAAACCAAATTTAGTCCTGCAATCCAATTTTTCTGTCTTCACTTACTGTAAAAACAATAGACTTCTAAAGAAATGGATAATGATCTTCTGAAGTTTACATAGAACGATCAGAACAGGCTGACTGGCTACATTACAGTGATACAAGTCATATGTGACTTGAATTATCGGTTCCATGAACACTATCTCATACAGGCATACACCTCAATAAAAAGTTGCAAAAAAGCAGTCTTATCAAAAACGGTTTTCAAACACAATGACAAACAATTTTTCGTTGAAACTCTTCAGAAATCATAAGGACAACTGCTTCCATGATTTGAGAAAGGAAGAAGAGTCACGTGACATGTACTCTAAGCAAAGGCGCTCGGCAAATGCAAATAGGGTTAGGACATTCGACTAAACAGTGAGCAAAAGGCATATTTTTTAAATTTTAATAAATCTGCGACGCCTTTGGATATTCAAAAATTTGCGGAATGCTTAGATAAGTGAGCAAAAAGTATATGTTTTGAAAAATATTGCCATGCTCAAACCCTAAAAACATTCGTGTTGTTCTGATACAAAGAAATACATTTGAATGTTGAAAAACTGCAAAAATGTAATTACATTATTCGATGTTAATGACATGTATTTGTTTTTCGTGTTTTTTATTTACTTATGAGACATTTACGGTTTTGTAAAAGTGCTTGTGGTAACGGTCGGTAGTTTTGTATTGAGAGTTGCCTACCTTGTTAAAATATAAGATTGAGACAAAACATACGTGAAAGCCACGCGAGATCGCGCGCGTGACAAACATTGCACACGATTCAAGAAATGTATTTAGTATTTACATAAATTGATTGCATAATAAACCTACAGAGGTGTTAGAGCAACTGATATGTATATTTTACTGGATAATTGAAGCCGGAAGTTGGTTCATCCCACTTAACAATACTTTTGTATTACAAAATCATCAGTTTTTGCGTTCTTATTCGTTCTACAAACTTTTGATTCGAGCAAAATTTTTGTGAAAGGGATAGAACAACCGGCAAAGATATTTAATCCTAAAAAGTTTGTCTTCTTGACTTTATAATGGCAGAAAATTGAGTTTGTACAAGGTCGACCTGCATTGTTTTGAAACAAACTGGAGATTATATGATGCTGCTGCGTCATAAAAAAATGTAGAAATAATACAGAATCCTACTACTGCTACCAAAATTTCATCTGCAATGACGTTTATGGAAGATTGCTACAAATTTACTTATGTAATAACACTTTGTTATTCACATCGCTAATATCATAATAATTTCAAATTGCGTCTTTAGTATATCATTGAAGAAACAAAACAAATCGACATAGAAAAATGATCGGAAAGACATTTTGATGAACAATAGTAAGTTGAAAACGGTATCATCAAACTCTACGAGATGTACATCATCAAATTATGCGAAGCAAAGTTTTCAACCAGTTCCTATGTGAACAACTTCAATATCGATGAATATGTTGAAGATATGAATGCCTTTGTTCTTACTTTGATGTAAATTTGTAATTTAAGTATTCATCTTCTAAAAATGCTTCGCACGGCTGAAATTGTCCTCGTCACCTTCAACTTCCAAGCTTTAATACAATTTGCCATCTTATTTTTCAGTCGTTACAAAGCCAAAAAAACGAGGCTTCAGGGTTAAAACTCTCTACCGGTTTTCCTCTACATGTCATAAAAATTTTGTTTTAATAAGAAGTTTGTAAAAGGAATAAAAAAGCGAAAAAATTTGAGATAGTTGTATAAAACACTATGAAAAACGTGTTTTTGACAAAAGCAATTATAACTCTGACTTCATGAAACGCAACACTTACAAACCCAACGAACCCAACGAAACGAACAAATCAGGGACATAAACAAAATAAGCTGCTCCGACTGCCAATCCTACTATATCGGGGAAACTGGCTGGAACTTAAACATAAGACTTACTGAACACAAACCAGCTACTAAGAAACAAGACAAAACTAATCACATTGTCGAACATCACCGAATCACAAAGCACAACATTGACTGGGACTCGGCAAAATGCATTACTTACAGCACTGACTATAGACAACGGCTTACATTAGAAAGTTGGTATACCAACTTCGAGCAAACCCCCTTGAACAGATCACAGCATTAGACCTTTTCAAGGTTATCGTAGCCATATTGCAGGGGGTGCAAAAACATTGGGCAGAGCGCGCGGTCACGCAATGAGCCATATAAATTACTAATAAATGCGCAAAAATTACCTTTTACATATTGGCCATTTCTTCCAAAAATATTTCTCAAACTCGTCCATTTTAATAGTAGCATTATTATTTGCGATTTTTTATACACGTGAGTTCAATTTTGTGGTAATCAAAAAGCGGAAAGTTAAAGAAAACATTTGTTTTTTTTTTGAACAACTTGACCGTCGTTTGAGCGATGTTCTTGAGTTCGCAAATGTGCGGAACTCATAAGCCAAGTCAAACGAACTAAACCCTAAACTAGCCGAGTAGCCATGAGCAGTCATAGCCGAAATGGTAAAAAATGCGCGTTGTGCAGTTGGATATTGCGATAATGATAAACGCTATCCTGATTATCAAGTTAAGAGGTCTCACCTAGAAAAGTTAGTTTTTCATAAGTGGCCCAAAGATCAAGCACTTGCTGAAATTTGGCGAAAACAAATTGCAAACAGCAGAGCCGATGACTTTAACCCAAAGCCTGGTGCACAAGGCACTTTCGTTTGCTCAAATCATTTTCCCTTGGGAAGAAGAGCCCCAAATAACCGCGAAATGGATTATCCTTCAGTTTTTATTACGCTATCAGAGTACGAGCAATCGAGGACTCCGCTTAAACGTAAAAGAAGAGAAACATGGACGACATCAAAGCGTCCTCATCAAGCCTATAAAACCGAGGATTCTCATTCAAGTTTTGATGGAAATCCAGCAAAATCTGAGGCATCTTTACTCCCTGTCCCTTTGGAATTTGAACAGTTGACGAGAGAGTATGATGTAAGGTTTAACACCGGCCTGCCATCGACTAACAGTTTTAAGTGTGTATTTGAATACTTGCTGCCAAAAGCTAGTAATATGCAATACTGGCGTGGACCCACACAGACACAAAATGAAACAACCGCGACTCCAAAAACACCATTTCAACTGTTTGCTGGTAGAGGTTATCTGGTCCAGCTCGCAAACTATCACCACAGCAGGAGCTCCTTATGTGTTTGATGAAGTTGAGTTTGGCATTACTTGTTGATGATCTGGCTTTCAGGTTTCAAATATAATCTGCTACTGTTAGTAGCACGTTTATAACTTGGATTAAACGGATGTCCAAGGAACTCTCAGTTCTCATTATATGGCCTAGTAGAAATCAAACTAAGAATAAGAGTTCGCCTTAGAATAGTTCCTCATGATTCTTGCTGACTTTGCTGTAGACATGTGCGTGTGTTGCGAACTCAAGAACATGGCTCAAACGACGGTCAAGTTGTTCAAAGAAAACAAATGTTTTCTTTAACTTTCCGCTTTTTGATTACCACAAAATTTGACTCACATGTATAAAAAATCGAAAATAATAATGCTACTATTAAAATGGACGAGTTCGAGAAATATTTTTGGAAGAAATGGCCAATATGTATAAGGGTAATTTTTGCGCATTTATTAGTAATTTAGATGGACTCCATGCGTGACCGCGCGCTCGGCCCAATGTTTTTGCACCCCCTGCAATATGGCTACGATAACCTTGAAAAGGTCTATTACCGGCACCTTACAAACGACGTATTCCCAATACAAACAAACGATTAACTAAAAACATTACACTTCACACTAATTCACAATGACAATACACAATTGACACCCAAACATTTCCCGTACACACAATACAATGACGTAAGAACCAGATAACAAATACGGCTAACCTGACCACAAAATAGACTTATAACAGAAGGCCCACTCGGCTAAAATTTTGGCGTATTTTTTCACTACGCATGCGTGACTTCCCAGCAAGATATTTTCACAAATTTGATATGGAATAGTGTTCCACGAGAATGCTATTTTACTAATAACTCACTATTAAAATAAAAGTGACCTGACGTTTACTTTTCAATTGACTTTGAAGATGACTACCGCTAAGGTTGTCTAAACGTCATTCAACAGCAACAAAAACAGTCCTTCTCAGGACTATACCAACCTGGACGATCTACATTTACAAACATGTAACGATACTCCCGGGTTCAAACCATTTACTTTATTAATATATCTTAAGTGATGGCAGATTACTGGCGATTACAAAATGCGATTACCTCACTGATATGTATATTAGACTGGTCAACGCATCTCATGCAAAAATTGGAGCCGGAAGATCGATCATTTGCTACTGATTTCATGGGGGGTATTGGTCCCACTTTACTATACTTTTGTACTACAAAATCACAGTTTTCGCGTTTTTAATCCTTTTGCAAACTTCTGATTAAGGCAAAATTTTTATAACAAGTAGAGGAAAACCGGTAGAGAGTTTTAACCCAGAAGCTCTGTTTTTTGGCTTTGTAACGACTGAAAAATAAGATCGCAAGTTGTATTGAAATTTGAAAGTTGAAGGTGACGAGGACAATTTCAGCCGTGCGAGGAATTTTTAGAAGATGAATACTTAAATTACAAATTTGCAACAAAGTAAGAACAAAGGTATTCATATCTTCAACATGTTCATCGATATTGAAGTTGTTCACATAGGAACTGGTTGAAAACTTTGCTT